CATCTTATGTGATCGGGATAGAAATCTTTCGCGATAGATCACAAGGATTGTTAAGTTTGTCTCAAAAAGGATATATCAATAAGATCTTAGAGAGATATAGAATGGAAAAATGCTCTGCAGGAATAGCTCCAATTCAGAAGGGGGATAAGTTCAGTAAAATGCAATGTCCTAAGAATGAATTGGAGCGTAAAGAAATGGAAAGAATTCCCTATGCATCGGTGGTTGGGAGTTTGAACTATGTTCAGACATGTACTCGACCCGATATCAGCTTTGTTGTAGGAATGTTGGGTCGATATCAAAGTAACCCTGGAATGGACCACTGGAAAGCTGCAAAGAAGGTTCTCAGGTACTTGCAAGGCACCAAAGAGAACATGCTTAAATATAGGAGATCCGATCAGCTAGAAGTCATCGGATATTCAGATTCGGACTATGCTGGATGCGTTGATAGCAGAAAATCGACGTTTGGTTACCTGTTCCTGTTAGCTGAGGGAGCAATATCATGGAAGAGTGGAAAGCAGTCTGTCATTGCTACTTCCACTATGGAGGCTGAATTTGTGGCATGCTTTGAGGCCACAATTCATGCATTATGGCTGCGGAACTTTATCTCAGGGCTTCGGATTGTCGACACTATAGCCAAGCCGCTGAGAATTTACTGCGATAATTCCGCAGCTGTCTTCTTTTCAAAGAACGACAAGTACTCGAAGGGTGCTAAGCACATGGAGTTAATGTACTTGTCTGTTAAAGAAGAAGTTCAGAAATGGAGAGTGTCATTTGAGCACATAAGGACGGACATGATGGTAGCGGATCCGCTAACTAAAGGTTTACCACCCAAGGCGTTCAATGGCCATGTAGAGCGTATGGGTATTATAGATAAGGCTTTGCTGTTTTAGGACGCTCATTATGTATTTGACACAAAGAATTCACATAAAGTTATGTTTCTGATTTATTAACTATGTTATCATTAAAGTATATGTATACATTTATGGTTTGTAGATAACATATGGTTGGTTTGAGAAATAAGGTTCTTCTCATATTTAAGGATTAAAAATTGGAATTGATTTGTGATACATGGAAGGGACTATGTCGTTTAATGGCATACAACCGCCATGATTCGATCAATTAAAATTTTAAGAAAGATCAAGTGAACTTGATATAAAGGTGCACAAGAAAGTTATTAAACTTTTAAGTCGACATAAAGGTCAAGTGGGAGAATGTAAGAATATTTTATATTCTAAGTGATCTATATGTCTATTGGTTTAATATAAAGTTCAAGTTCATATTAATGTTTTTAGATTCTAATATAAAAGGCGTTACCGTGATGGATCGGTTTCGATTAATGAATTAGAATCCGGGTGTATTGATAACCCTCCTACTTTACCTTTTATCTATAAATGATTTTAATCTCTTGATCATATACATATATATTATATGTATTAATAATGATATATAATACATATGAGTATGCGTTGTTGTTGTACGGTTATTATAATGAAGGGTTGTTATAATCGTGGAAGAGTTGTGTTCCTTAACACACATGACACAACCTTTTGACTTTTTATATATACAAGACCTCGTGCATTGTTTATACGTACGGAAAGAAAAACGAGAGTCTTTCAAAACACATAATAATAATTCTAATTATCAACAAGAGAGATTAAGGAAGGTTTGGGATTTCTTTTCCATCAAAGAAATCACCAAAAAGGAAAAAGGTTAAAGAGGAGAAGATCAATTGGTGGAGTTGCATCCAAGCATGGATCAAGGTTAGTTCTTCTACTTTCTTTAGAAGTGTATTAGGGTTGAATTAAAGCAAATCTAGATTAGGTCTTGGTATAGATCTCATAATTGAAATCATAAAATAAACTAACAGAGGAAGAAGAAGAGCCACGCGTGGGGGTCACGTGCGGAGGAAGAAGAAACGGGTCATGGGGTTCCTATAATAAATGGATGATGTTGGGTCGAATACTTGACCCGAGATCCAAACTGGTTCAAGAATGGAACAGAATCTTTCTTCTCGTGTGCGCGACGGGGCTTTTCGTGGACCCACTTTTTCTCTACACCATCTCGGTAAACGACGCGTGTATGTGTCTGCTCCTCGATGGTTGGCTCGCTCTCACCGTCACTGCCTTACGCTCCATGACCGATCTTTTGCACTTATGGAACATTTGGATTCAGTTCAAGATTGCTCGCCGGTGGCCTTATCCCGGCGGAGATAGCGACGGCGATATTAACAAAGGAGATGGGACACGTGTCCGTACGAAAGTTGCTTCACCTTACGTTAAGAAGAGAGGGCTCTTCTTCGATCTCTTCGTCATCTTACCACTACCTCAGGTTACTAGACCAATATATTATTTCTTCTTATTTATACAACAAATTATAGTATTTGTTACGTACTTTGGATATATACAAGAAATTAAATACACTAGAGAGATAATTCTTAGATTTAACGTGGTGAACGTCTTGTGACTTATTATGATACTAAGAAATCGCCCAATTATATGTTAAGCTTTGGTTGGACGATCATATATACATATACAAAACCTATTTTTCTTAGGCAATTACTAAACTTTTACTTATCATATGCATTAATATATTAGGAATCAAGTAGTTATATTCTGATAGTACCTTCGTTATAGTACTATGTTAGTCGAGGACTCAAGAGTCAAGACCAATGTTCAATGTTATATATACACTTTTAGTCAATAATGCAAATGCAGAGTTTGCTATACATAACGATTAGCTAGTACTCCTACAATTAACTAATGACTACTTTTTTCTTTCAGTTTGACTTTTTTTAAAGATTTCTTTGTTTTTCTTGTGTCAATTGCTAACATTGGTTAAAGGGCACACAAACATAGTAATCAAATCTAGTACTGAACTAAAATTGACTGATCTAGGAAAAAAATGGTAAATCCAAATAATTATATGGTCTGGAATAAGTCTCACTTAGACTGACCTAATCATGTTCGTGTGTGGACCAAATGAAGTAACACATATTCGTTTTCAGTCTTCTTTTCGTATGGTACATTATTGTTCTTTTCTTTGAATAATTTAATTACAATTTTTTTTTTTTTAAATGGGAGTAGGTGGTGTTGTGGGTGGTGATACCTTCTCTTCTAAAGAGAGGCTATGTGACTTTGGTGGTGTCAATCTTGCTTTTAACATTCCTCTTCCAATATCTACCGAAGATCTACCACTCCATTCGCCATCTCCGTCAAAATGCTACACTGTCAGGTTACATTTTCGGCACCGTCTGGTGGGGAATTGCACTCAACATGGTCGCTTATTTCGTCGCCGCAAATGTAAGTGTTTTGATAAAAACAAAATTCTTGCTTAAGACGTAATACATTTTCATTTATGATCATCATTCTAGCGATTGAGATAACATAATTGAACTAAGCCTAAGTGAATCTCAATGTAAACTTGTATTAATTGTTGTGTCTACACGTTTTGAGCAGTTGTTCAAGTCTAGTTATATGCTAGTATTCAGTATGTTCATCAACAGATTACAAATTTCAGTAATATGGTAATGCATGCTTACGATTTAATTTTGTAAATTTCAGTTTTTTTTTGTGCGAGTGTGTGTCGGTAATTTATCTTTAAAATTACTAACTTTTGGAAAAGTATTGATTTTCTGGTGCCAGGTAATTATATGCCCTTGTTTATAAAAAAATGTCTTCCAAATATCATTGTTTTTAAGAAAAAACAACAAACAAAATAATAATTTTAAACATTTTCCATTTGTTCTACAAATTTATTAACTAGATTTCAAAAATCAATATTTAAAATTTTCTTTTTTCAGTAGATAAAATAGCTAAGCCACTTAATTTTTTTGTGTGATATACTTAATTTTTTTGTGTGATATACTCGAATGGATATTAGATTTTATCAACTTCAGTTTTGAAAATTTCTTTCCTACAAATGCAATCAAAATTAACATCTTTCTGTCAATATATAAGATTATGGTCATTATTCACGATTAGGCAAACAATATAAAACTGTTCAAACAAATAAAACTAAATAAAATAATTAAAAAGTTAATTTTAATGATTGGTGAGAAAAAGTAAAATGAGAAGTTTTGTCAATATAAAATATTCAATTTCTGAAAATGATTGTAGTAGAAAAAGATGGTAAGTCGACAATAGTGTTATGTTCTTTTGCTGCGCTAACATTTTTCTTGTAAGATTAACAAGTTTTATTAAGAAATTAAGTATCTTATTATTACTTTATTAGTATTAGTAATAATGGACTAATAAACTTTTTCAGTTATGACCTATATTTGATATTTTAGCATCTTAAACTTAAGCTCATATAAATATATTATTAGTTAGTTAGTAATTAATTAAATACATGTAATAAACTGTTATTTTTCAATTTTACCAAAAAAATGTGTTATTTTTCAAAGTGAGACCATAGGCCAATGTTTATTTTGGCATAAAGGAAGCAAGCACGTCTCTGCTTAGAAGCACACAAGTCGCAATCAAATTATTTAGTAAAAATAAACACAACTTGCACTGTTTTTAGGTATATGATTAAATAAGAAAGACTAGTTTAGAATAATAAATTATTCAATCATTCGCTTCTTTTTAAAAATTTTACGTTTTCACTTTTATTTGTCCCTCAATGACTCATCAGCTTTTAATTAACATTGTATGAGAATTTCCTAGATCTTCCAACTCAATCATAACCGCATAATATTGTGATCAAATATCAATTAATTCGCAAAAATCTATTAGTTTTCCAATTTTGTTTGTTACCATTTACTTTTTATATATGAACTACAGGCAGCAGGAGCATGTTGGTACTTGCTAGGGGTCCAAAGATCAGCGAAGTGTCTTAAAGAACAATGTGAAAACACAATGGGATGCGACCTAAGGATGTTGTCATGTAAGGAACCAGTTTACTATGGCACTACCGAGATGGTCCTTGACAGGGCTAGACTGGCTTGGGCGCGAAACCAGCAAGCACGATCCGTTTGCTTAGATATCAACACCAACTACACATATGGTGCTTATCAGTGGACCATTCAACTTGTGAGCAATGAAAGCCGGCTGGAGAAAATCCTTTTCCCTATCTTTTGGGGTCTCATGACTCTCAGGTATTATTCAAAATTTCAGTTGAACTCCATTACAGTACCTTTTCTTTATTTCTTATGTATGTGTATTAGAATAACCAACACTAACTGTCTAGTTTCAATTGATTTCTGAATGGATATAATCAATCAGTACATTTGGGAACTTGGAGAGCACAACAGAATGGTCAGAGGTTGTCTTTAATATAATAGTTCTAACAAGTGGTCTACTTCTCGTTACCATGTTGATCGGTAACATAAAGGTAACTGCATAAGATTTTCTTGTAACATTTCAGACATAAATGGAAGGAATTATAATCTATCTCTAATTTATCAATGTAGGTGTTTTTGCATGCAACAACTTCAAAGAAACAAGCAATGCACCTGAAAATGAGGAACATAGAGTGGTGGATGAAGAAGAGACATTTACCATTAGGGTTTAGGCAACGAGTCCGCAATTACGAGAGGCAGAGATGGGCCGCTATGCGCGGTGTAGACGAGTGTGAGATGGTTCAAAACCTTCCAGAAGGTCTTAGGAGAGATATCAAGTACCATCTTTGTTTAGACTTAGTCCGACAGGTCAGATTAATCATTACAATTAATTATTGATTGAAGGAGACGCAATATATAAAGATGAAGTTAGCTAATGATCAATGGATCACTGATGTGATGAGTATTTGCATTTTTTTAGGTTCCATTGTTTCAGCATATGGATGATTTGGTGCTTGAGAATATATGCGACCGAGTGAAGTCTCTCATTTTCACAAAAGGAGAAACCGTAATTATCTTTAACCAATTTAACGATTATTTATTTCAATTTCCGAAGCCATCTTTTTTAGTTGCCTATTAGCATGCCTTCCAAGAAACCTTTCAACTTTAAATACAAAGTAAAAATGTTTGAAAAGAATGCACACAGATCCAGAAAGAAGGAGATGCCGTGCAAAGAATGTTGTTCGTAGTGAGAGGTCATCTTCAGAGTAGTCAGTTACTAAGAGACGGAGTCAAAAGCTGTTGCATGTTAGGTCCAGGTAACTTTAGCGGTGATGAGCTTCTCTCATGGTGTCTTCGACGACCATTTGTGGAGAGGCTACCGTCGTCTTCCTCAACACTTGTAACGCTCGAGACCACCGAAGCATTTGGACTCGACGCTCGAGACGTTAAATACGTGACTCAACATTTCCGTTACACTTTTGTCAACGAGAAAGTCAAACGCAGTGCCCGATATTATTCTCCTGGGTGGAGAACTTGGGCCGCGGTTGCGGTTCAGCTCGCTTGGAGGAGGTATGTCTCATTTCTTGAATGAATACATCTCCTTTCAGAAAGATTAAATCATTTGCAAAAAAACAAAAAAATTCTAATTAAAGGTACAGTTTTATATGTAGGAAAAATGAGTTTTGGATAATAGTCCATCCGTTTCACTTTAAATGTCATTATAGGTTTTTGCACACAACTTAAAGAAACATTTAATTTTATATATTTTAAAGATAAAAATATAATTACTTATACACCTAACCACTTTTCAACCAATAGAAAAATAGAATATTATATAAAACTAATAAATTTTACCTCGAAATTTTAATGACACTTAATTTGTGACAACAAATTAAGCTTAAAATGACAAGTATTCTGAAACGGAGAGACTAATCGTTTTCAATATTGTCTTCCAAAAATACACCAACTTGATAAAATTTCCAAACAATACGATAACCACATTTATTGATTTTTGGAATTTTAGTATTTTTGTGAAGCAAAATTAAAAAAAAAATGTTAGCTTAAGAAAATATTACAAAAAAAAAAACTGGTCCCTTTCTTGTTGTTCTTTTGATCGGAATATGTGTAAATTGATTTTACATAGAGATAATTAAATGGTTTTTGTCAATGTGATAGGTACAAGCATAGGTTAACTTTGACGTCACTATCGTTCATAAGGCCGAGGAGACCATTGTCGAGATGTGCATCACTAGGAGAAGATAAATTGAGGCTCTATACAGCCATTTTAACCTCTCCTAAACCCAACCCTGACGATTTCGATGATTATTAATTGATACTATTTTATTCTATCGATCTACTATATATTATGTTCGACTTCAATAATTGTATTATATTATCATGCATATGAGATATGACATGGAAAAGGAAAAACCAGATAGTAATCTGCATTAATAAGTGAAAAATTAAAAAAGAACTCCAAAATGCAATCTTGACTTACACGAAAATAACTTTCTTGAGATAATTAAGCAGTGTATAATCCACAATATTTTACTCTATGCTGCCTAACATCCAACAGACATAGAAAAAGAAAAATCAAATTGTAATAGGTATAAAGAAGTGAGAAAATAAGTCTTATAAATACAGTTTTGTTTGTGGACAAAGATGATTCTCCATATGAGGGTTTGAATTGGGTCAGTAATCCAGAAAGTTCTATCCTATGCACAATTTCAAAATGAAATTTGAGTTTTCACTTTAAATTGCCTCCAATAAGATATAGAAATCACATTGTAACAATCGAAGTTATATTTCTTAGAGCATCTCCAATGTATTACTCCATTTTCTACTCTAAAATAGAGTAACTCCAAAATGCAGTTGAGTTTTACTCCAATGTATTACTCCATTTTCTACTCCAAAAGAATATTTTTAATATTATATTTATTTCAAAATTAGGAATATCACCTTTCATTTATACTATTTGCAAAACAGTCCATTTTAAATTTATAGCATTTCTATTAAATACAATATTAACCACAATTAAATTTTTATTATATA